CCCCAGGAGGCTTGCTCCCCGAGGCTTGTTCCCCAGAGGCCTGCTCCTGAGGCTCCCAGAGGGCTTCACCCTACATCTGCCTTTCTTTCTCGCTCTAGTGAGGAGTACTCACGCCCCATCTTCCTCCCACTGGGGGCCACATGGGCTAAAGTGTGGTGCTGAGGCCACTTCTCTCCCTCTACCAACTCTCCCTCAGTCACTCATCTGCTCCTAGGGGCTCAGTCCTCATCTCTGCGCAGATGACTCCCAGATGGATCCACACAGCCCGAGCCTCTCCTCGGCTCCACGTCTGAATCACTGGCTGTTTCTTGAACAGCTCCAACTCCGCGTGCCCCAAACAACACTCATTCTCTTTCCCCCAGTGCTCCTGTGATGGCCACATTCCCCTTGTTTCCGCTGGGGCTGCCGCCCTTCTTGGAGTCTGCCAGGCTGAGACCTCGGCATTAGCCTTGGGCCTCCTTCTCACTCCCCAGACGTGTCCAATCAGTGTCTGCGTCCCCAAGCTCTCCTGTGTCTCCCCTCCTCTCCTCACCCAGGAAGGCTGCTTCCCACCCCAGGCCACCCTCCACATAGCCACCCCAGTGATTCTCCGGAATGCCAGCTCTGGCCACGTCACCCACTACCCAGTAAACTCCAGCGGCTCCCTATGAGAGCCCTTCACAGCAGGGCCTCACCCGAACTCTCCTGCCACCCTCTGTAGTAAGCCAGCACCGGACTGGCCTTCTCTCTGTTCCCCACAGACTGCCCTCCCTCCCTCTCCCATCTCCATGTCTTTGCAATGGCAGTATCCACTGCGGTGTGTCAATACCAAGTTCACCTCTGCATTAAAGCTCCCCATGAGCCCTGGTCTCTACAGCTCCATGCCCCTCCCTCATTATGGCTAAAGGGTCTGATTGTGCTTCTGAGAATTCATGTCACTCAGGACAGGCTACATACACAGCACCTATGCATACCTCTCCATACATCCAAAGCTCTATTGGTAAGGATGACCTTGGGAGGATCTTTGCAACCTCTCCCTCCCCATGGAATCTAAGTTCAAAGTTCACATATAGAATCCCAGCGGACAAACACTACACTCCCCCTCCACCCAACAGACAAACACCATTGAGCTCCCAGTAAACAAACTCCACAATGCCCCTCCCCATCCTCACCCCTTCCAGGAATGCCTGTTTCTTTTGCTAGAACCCCTCAAAGCTACTCCTTCTCCTGGAGCTCCTCAGAGACCTGGCCCACCCCTTGAGCTCATCAGCCTAGGAGCCTCTAGGGCTTTAACCAACAGTAACTTCAGAGACAAGCGTGCATCTGAGCCCAGGCAGCCCCACTGAGCTTGTCCCACTGGCAGCACCGCCTCTGGGTCCCTCACCAGCCAGCCTGGGTCAGCCAGAGAACATTCCCTCCTCCTCCTCCTCCTCCTCCTCCTCCTCCTCCTCCTCCTCCTCCTCTCAGTCCCCTCCACAATGTCTGTGCTCAGATCCCCAGGTTTAGCCCTGGGCACAAAGCAGTAGAGAATGCTCCTAGCTCCTCCTCAGCATGCCGGGCCCCAGGAAAGAAAAGCATCTCTAACCAGCACAGAGAAGGATCTTTCCCTACAAAGACTGGGAAGGCTAAAATGCCATCTGGGAAGCTGTCTCACACCCATCTCCTGCCAGCTGTTGAGAACGTGCTATTTGAGAAAACTCTTTTGGAGCTCATGGGTTTCCTTTTCTCCTCTCTGGTATGGACACAGGGTCCCCCGTAGTCACTCATTTAGAGAGGCATACGCTGCCAGGAGAAAGAGATCTGTTTCCTCCTCATTTTGATGTTTCTAAGCCTCAAGGAGCCTTCCTTCCAATGGCTGCAGCATTAGCCCCTCCGGGATGTGCACCCTCCTCACCCCAGAGGCCCCTCTTTCTTTAAGTTCAAACCTCTCCTGATGCCCTAGCTCCCCTCCCTGCCTGTCGTCCTCCCCTCCCAAGCCACCCTGTGTTTAGCCACTGTTTCCTTGTGGTCTTTCTCTCCCCAGGGCCCAGCACACACAGGCTCTTAAGCACTTGTGGACTGAGGTTGAACACTTTGCAAACTGCAAAGCACCCCAGTAGGATTTCCTACCCCACCTGCTGAACAGAGTTATAAGGTGACCCTAGAAATCGAGAGGGCCAGGGGCCAATGGGATGGAGAGAGGCAAAGGCCTGGTGGAGGGAGCGGCTGCTGACCCATTTCTGCTGTGGCCACAGCTGTGCCTCAGGCTGGGGCCCAAAGGAGCAGGCTTACCCAGGTCCTGGATGGCATCTTCTTTCTGCTTCAGCTCCTCACTCAGCGTCTCCACCGTCTGCTTCAGGAGGCTTGTTTCTAAGGAATCCAAAGAAACACTTCTTAGCCAAAGTCTCACACTGGCTGACCTTGGACACGGCTTTTCCCTTCTCTCAGACTGTTTCCTCATCTGTAAAATAGGGGCAGGTTCAACTAAATGATCTCTGAAATCTCTCCCAGTGCCACCAGCATCAAGTAAGATTTCACTGTCAGACACTCAGCACAGTGCAGCATTGTAAGTGTGCATGAATGTCTATAGTACAGCAAGGGGAGACACACGGAGCTATTAGGATTATTGTTATAATGATGATGTTCTAAGGCCCCTCCCAGCCCTGACATCCCCTGTCCTAAGGCCCCTCCCAGCCCTGACATTCCATGTTCTAAGGCCCCTCCCAGCCCTGACATTCCCTGTTCTAAGGCCCCTCCCAGCTCTGACATTCCCTGTTCTCAGGCCCCTCCCGGCCCTGACATCCCCTGTTCTCAGGCCCTGGAACAGTTTCTAAGGGGTGTAGAATAGGCCCAGTCAAATGGGCAACAGGACAGCCCAGGATAGGATAGTCTGAGCTCTCTCTCTGACAAGAAGCTGGATACGCTGAGTCATGGCTGGGTCAGGAAGCTTCCTTGCTTTGTGCTCTGAAGCCCCCATGCAGAAGAAAACGCTACCACTCAACATTGGGTCAGGAGAACTGAGTTCAAATCCTAGCTCTGCACCGTTCTCACTGTGTGACCTCTGACAAGTCACTTCCCCTTTCTGAGGCTCAGTGTTCCCCTCTGTAGAATGGGTACAGTGCTCATAGTGCCTGCTCCATGCAATGGTGGTAGAGAAAGCCCCTCATGAGTTACAGAGAGCTGAGTTATCATTCCCTTCTCCCTTCTTGGTGTCCCTCTTCATCCCCAAGACATTTCCCTAGAGCCTCAGGGATGGGAAGGCGTGCACACGCTTCCTTCGAGCAGCTCACAAGAACGCTACCAAGACACGCATGGGCCTGAGCACATGTGTACAGGAAATGGTCAAACACACAAATGCCTCGTAGCATCTGAAAGTCAAGATGTACTGAGACACAAAGGTCCAGCCGCGTGGACATGAGTGACCACTTCCCTCTGCCATCAAGGAGCGCTGACTGCTGGATGGGAACCACCCGCCTGGTGCAGACCTTGTTAGCGACCAGAGTGAGCAGACTGGCTGGCACCTAGAAATGCTTGTTAGGGAGACAGTGGCGGCTTTCCTACTGGTGCAAGGACCGTCCAGGCATGATGCATCTCTTACAGCTGCCTTCAGGACTCAGAGGTAACCCCAGATGTCTTGGTATTCTCCCAGGAGCTGAAGGGATGGTAGCTGACAGTTTTTCCCATGAATTCTAACTTCAAACTAACCCAGAGAGAAAGCCGAATTCCTGAGCTCAGCTCAAGGACACAGAAAAAGGTGGCTTTAGGCACACGCAGATTCAGTGATAAAAGTCAATGAGCAGCACGAGGCTGCAGCATCACTGCATCCTTGTCTGTGTGCAGGGTTCACCGAGTTCTCATCATGCACAAATAAAGGTGAAGGACCAGTGCTGAGTCCAGTAAAGGAAGTGGGGGGGGGGGGCCTGATGGGCCGCAACAACTCATGCAGAGCAGCCAGAGACGTTAGACCATCTCCTCTAGCCTCAGAGCTGGGCATGCGTCCTGTCTGCCCAGCAAGGCGATGGGCAGGAGTGGGGAAGGAGGCTGCAAGAGATGGCCCTGGGACCCAGAGCTCACCAGCTTCTTTTTCACCCACCAACCTCCACCAGCTGAGCTGTTCTCCAACAGCTGCCCTTGGGCAGGGCATCAGCCTGGGAGCCTGGGGGTGCTCCTGAGGACTCACTGGCCTCCTCCACCCCCAACCCCCATTAATGCCACGCCCAGCTTATTAGGGGTCCTCTATAACCCAGGGAGCGGCTGGGCTGCCTAGGCCTGGCTTGGATGGCCAGCGAAGGTGACCCCAGATGAATTGGCGGCCCTCCTACTTCCCACCCTATGCCACTATTTCAGGAAGGACAGAGAGAGATGGCCTGCTTCAGATGGGGACAGATTTGTTCATCTCTAAGTACCCTCTGCCTCTCAACAGTCTGGTATCCCGTTCTGGAAACACCTTGGATGTGCGAGGGGCCCCTCCAGACATGATCCAGATGCAGGATCCCTCAGGCAACATCCTGGCACCCCATTCTGGGGCACCCAAGGGCAGTCACTTTGAGCTGGAAGTGGCTCAGAGGCCAGTGGACACAACACCCTTCCCCTGCTCTCCTTCATTTTAAAAAGAGAAAACTGAAGTCCAGGGAAGTTCAAATGGGGCCATGTGTCTCCCTGGCCCTGGGCAGGCAGCTGGCTGAGGCCTGTGAGGCCCCTCCAGGCTGGCCAAAGGGGCCAGGGGCTAGAGAGAAAGCCAGGGGGGAGGGCAGGAGGGCAGAGGGGAGGTCCAGGGGAGGGGCAGGGGGGGGGGGGGGGGCGGGGGGGGGGGGGCAGAGAACCTGAGAGCAGCGCCTGCTTCTCCTCCTCCAGCTGGGCCAGTGCCTGTCCTTGTTTCTGTGCCTGCTCAGCCCAATGCCTCTCGGTGTCCAGCCACTGCTGCTGTTGCTCAGCCCGCTCCTTCTGCAGCTCCTGCCCCTGGTCCTCCAGCTGTTGCACCAGCTGCTGCTTCAGCCGCTCGGCCTCCTCCAGCTGCGTCCGGATGGGGCTGACCACCTGCCTCAGGGCCAACAGGTGCTTGCCGATGCGGGACAGGTCTTTGCTCTGTTCAGCTGCCCAGTAGCTCAGGTCCATGACCGACATGGGCTGCTGCCCCATGGTCTCATGCACCAGATGCTGAAACTTGTCCAAGGACGAGGGCAGGTTCTGGCTGACGCACAGGCTGACGATGGCTTTGCTCACCTCCCACAAGCTCCGCTGGACGCTGCTACAGGCATCGCAGGGAACCAAGGCTGTGTCGATGGTCTGGGTGTGGATGCTGCGGGTGGTGCTGGCCGAGGCAGCGGGCACGGGGGGCCCGGCGGGGCTGGCATCCTGAGGCTGGCAGGGGGGGGGGGGGCCGGGTGTCAGGGCCCTGTCGGTCTCACTCTCGCCCCCTTCCAAGGCCTCGGGCTCGGGGATGACTGGGTGATGGTTGTCGGCTGCCTCGCTCTGGTCAGGGAGGACAGGGGAATCTTCCTGCTTTGTCTTCTGTTAAAGGGGAAATGGAGAAGGAGACGATGATGGTGGGAGGGCCAGGATTCTCAGCTACGTTCAGAAGTGGGGACGAAGCACCATCCAATGGGGCAGAGCCCTGGGCCTAGGCTCAGCCAATACTCAACGCTGCCCCAGGGCTAGTGCCCATCCTCAGCTAACATTTCTAATTCATCTTGTCTCTAGCTTGTGTACATATTTGTCTGCGTGTGGTCTCCCTCATTCTGTTGTGAGCTCGCTGAGGGCAGGAACTGTCTCTGGCCTTTCTTTGTATCCCTCATGCTTAGCGTGGCGCCTGGCACACAGTAGGTGCTTAGTAAACGTCTGTTAACTGACTGACTGCCAGGCTCGCCAAAGCTGCAGGTTCTGCCCTGGCCTGGCCCTCAAGGGGCTGTGACGGCTGCCTAAGGGCAGCTGGGTTGGACTAGGGGGCAGCAGGCCTGGATCTGGGGACCCCAAGGGCCAGTGCTTCCCTCTGTCCAGGCTCTGTGGCTCTGGCAGGGTGGGCAACCCACCCCACCCCTCCCCCAGCCGCCACTGCCCATCATACCCCCCAAGGACTTGGGCAGGGGCTGCCACAGAGAGACCCCCGGACCCGGAATCAGGCCTGGTTAGGCCGTTGTGTAACTGTGAGCAAGCTGCTTCACCTTAGAGTCTCAGCTTCCCCATCTGCAGAATGGGGCGGATAATCTCTGCTCTCCTCTCTCCCACCACTTCAGGCATACCTCGTGTGATTTGCCCCATTTATGGAAGGTCCTCACTTCAGTCCCTAATGGAAAGACCGCTGTCTTTGGAGTCAGAAGACAGGTCCAAATCCCAGAGGCCCATCGCTTCTACAAAAGGTGGTGGTAGTGGGTTTGGTGGTCCCTAAGTCCCTTCGAGCTCGAGGTTGGGCATGCTAGGCTCCTACGACCAGTCTGACTGGAGCAGCTAACACTTGGATCCATACAGGACGGGTGGCACTGACTCGTGGGGGCCTCGAATGCCAGGATGATCAGTCTGGACTTGACTCAGGAGTTAAAGGAAGCCAATGAAAGGTGCTGAGCAGACTTCTTGGATGAGGGACAGACAAGAGGAAGGACGAGACATTTTGTCTCGTGCTGACGGCTTCTCAAGCCTCTCCAAATGAGGAATTATGCACCCAAGAGAGGAGGCTCGGCCGTTTCTATGGTCTCGCCGGCCAAGAAACCAAACAAGGTGAAAACCCCACGAGTTAACCACAAGGCAGGCCGAAGATCCCTAACACCCCCCCCCCCCCCCCCCCCCCCCCCCCCCCCCCCCCCGGCACATTCTGCTCTTCCAGCTGAAGCAGATACCGGCTCAGGCCGTCACTGCAGCAGGAAGAAGTCATGCTCCGTCCCCCAACAGAGCACAGGCAGAGAGCTGAGGAGCAGAGGGAACAGCCCCACGGGGGGCCCACGGGCAAGGGCTCAGCGTCCGTCTGGGACCTGCTGGGCGAGACGCCGCGCTGGCGAGCCAAGAACGGCCCAGCGAGGGAGAAGGCTGAAGTCAGTCTGAGCTCCAGCCCCAGCCCCAGCCCCAGCCCCAAACTACGACCAAAGGACGAGCAAGAGGGAGAGAAGACAAAAGATCGAAGCTTCCAAAGTTCTCGGGAGGAAGAAAACCCAGGCAATGACTCAGAACATAAACAGCCCACAGGAAAGACGCTAACAAGAGAAGGACGAAAGGCCTCTAGATCAGGGGTGAGAATCCAGGCATCTGCAGACGAGCTTTGCAAGGAAAGGGAGAAGGCTGTGGATTCCCAAGAAAACACGGAACCAGGCAAGTTTGTTCCGGCATGGCTTAAAGAAAAGTCAGGGGCAGCTGGGTGGCGCAGTGGATAGAGCACCGGCCCTGAAGTCAGGAGGACCTGAGTTCAAATCCGGCCTCAGACCAAACGCTTGACACTTACTAGCTGTGTGGCCTTGGGTAAGTCACTTAACCCCAACTGCCTAAAACAAAACAAAACAAAAAAAAAGAAAAGAAAAGTCAGACTTGTGGGAGCAGACTGATGGCCTGCATGGAAGAAATGATCAGCAGAATAGAAAAACTTGAATCCACAGTGCCAAGTCTCAGCAAAGAAACAAAAGAGAGAGTGTTTGGGAATGCAGACACACGGAAGCAAAGGACAGTCTGTAAGAAGACAAGCAAAAAGCAATCACATGAAAAGAAGGCGCCACCTCCACGCAAGCAAAACACTGGTCTTGAAGGAAGGGTGCATAGAGACGACCCAAGGGTTAAAGGTCTCAAGGAGAACACAAGTCAGAATGCCTCAACACCACAGTATGAGAAATAATACAAGAAAACTGCCTAGAACTTCTGAACACAGAAGACAAAATGCCAACTGAAAGAATCCACAGACTGCCTCGAGGGGGAAAATAACCTCTACGTTGCACACTCCAATTTAAATTCAACAATTCCACTAACAACAAATGCTGCAAGAAACCAGGAGAAAGAGCTTTAAATATAAAGGAAAGAAAATTCGAATAATACAAGACTATTCTACAACCACTAGAAACTACAAGAGGGAATGGAATAATGTATTCTAAAGAGTTAAGGAGCACAAGAAGAAGCCTAAGGTGACCTCCCCTGCACACATGAGCCTAACCACGTATTAAATTTGAAAGGATATTAATAAACAGGAAATACTCAAAACATTCCTAAAAAGAAAACTAAACTTAGAGAAAGTATTTGCTTTTTAAACAGTCCAGACAACAGAAATACAAAAAAGGTAAATAAATAACCAACAACAAGTATGACAAAGCCATTCAGAGATTTCTGGAGGAGACACAAGAGAGACAAGGATGAAAACAAAAGTTAAACACACGTGATGGTGGAGAAACAGGCCTGAAACAATCGTGGTCTCACTCTCACAATCTCACAGCACACTGCCTAAAGGCAAATCAGTGTTTTGGTTTGGTTTGGTTTCTGGGGGGAGGGACCAAATTAGGGAATGGGAAGGCACATAAAAGGGGGAAGGGAAGGAAGAAGATAGAGAGAAATAGGTGATGTATTCTAATCGAGTCAAAGGCTAACAATGAAGGGAAAATAACTCCTGAGGTCTCTCAGGAAGAGAACCTGTAGGAGAATGGGTGAGAACGTAAAGGATGGAATTAGAAAAGAGGGAAAGGGGAAAACTTTGTTCCTCTGGTGGGAGGGGGTACCGCTGATGAATGCTCCTACGGGAGAAAAGAGATATTATATAAAAGGAGATGGGGACCCTACGATGGACATGATCTGCAATGGATCTGGTGCTTAGAGATCACCCACACATTCTGCCACAGGAGAAGGGGAATCGGGGCTCTTGGGGGCAACTGACACCCAGAGGAGTGGGAGGGCACAGATCCCGGGAAGAGATTACAAGGCAAATGGGGGGGGGAATGACCAAAGGGAGGGCAAAGGTCAACAATGAACTGCACAATGAAGGACATAGGAATATTCCTTCCCCAGAGAACTATGCTATCATCTGCTGGTAATGGTATTTCTAAGAATGAGGCACAACAGAAAAAAAGGGGGCCACGGAGCAATAACAGAAACTCTTTAGAAGAGGGAACCCAAAATAGGTACTTCAAAAGTTTTAATTTCATGAGGAATATAGAGAATAAAGAACTAAATAAATATAAAGGCCATGGATCAAAGAATAAGACTCCAGAATATATAGGAAAGGAAGATAAATAATGAAAAAAAGGAAAGAAATACTAAAAAGGATTTTTTCTAAAAAGAAAAAAAAAGGTACAGAAAATAAAATTTTAAAAACTAATGAACAAAACAAATTAAAGGGGAAGAGAGGAAGAAGAATTTTCATTGGCTTCTTAATTCCTTCTCAGTTGAGAGGGAAAATAAAAGAGGAGAAAAATTTAAAACTATCCCCAATTGATAAATGGTCAATGGATATGAACAGGCAGTTCTCAGACAAAGAAATTAAAGCCATCTGTAGTCATATGAAAAAACACTCTAAATCACTATTGATTAGAGAAATACAAATCAAAACAACTCTGAGGTACCACATCACACCTATCAGATTGGCCAACATGACAAAACAGGAAAATGATAAATGTTGGAGAAGACGTGGGAAACTTGGAACACTAATGCATTGTTGGTGGAGTTGTAAAATGATCCAACCATTTTGGAGAGCAATTTGGAACTATGCCCAAAGGGCTATAAAAATGTGCATACCCTTTGACCCAGCAATAGCACTTCTAAGGCTGTATCCCAAAGAGATCATAAATATGAGAAAAGGACCCACGCATACAAAAATATTTATAGTAGCTCTTTCTGTGGTGGCCAAGAATTGGAAATTGAGGGGATGTCCATCAATTGGGGAATGACTAAACAAATTGTGGTATATGAATGTAACGGAATACTATTGTGCTATAAGAAATGATGAGCAGCGGACTTCAGAAAAACCTGGAAAGACTTGTATATACTAATGCTGCGTGAACTAAACAGAACCAGGAGAACGTTGTACACAGTAACAGCCACACTGTGTGATGACTAACTTTGATAGACTTAGCCCTTCTCAGCAATGCAAGTATCTAAGACATCTCCAAAGGCCTCATGATAGAAAATGCTATCCACATCTAAAGAAAGAACTATGGAGTCTGAATGCAGATCAAAGCATACTATTTGCTATTTTTTTCTTCTGTTTTGTTTTGTTTCCTCTTTCTGGTGGTTCCTCCTACTGGTTCTAATTCTTTCTTACAAGATGACTAAAGTGAAAAAAAAATTTGCAAAGATAAAAAAAAATGTTAAACTAGATAAAAGCAAGAAGGAAAAAGGAACTAATAAGAAAAACTCCAAAAATAGAGAAAAGGGTAACAAACAGGAAGAGGAGGGCAGACTTATGGGTAAGGGGAAGATGGCAGGTAGAAATAGGGCTACCTTAAAATAAATTAAGCTAAAATAAATAAAATGACATAGTACTGCTTTTACAAGAGAAGGAGAAGGAATCCTAATTTAGGGGGGAAAAACAATTTTAGAGACAAATGGAAAAAAATTAACTTCAAATATGAATGGATTAAGCAATCCAAGAAATCCAAGAAAAAGAATGACAGGTTGTATTAGAAAAGAAAACCTCACGTTCTGTGACTTACAAGAAACATACTTAAAAAACAAAGACATACATAGAGTAAAAATGAAGGACTAGAAAAAATTTACTATGCATCAAGTGAATCCAAAAATGAGGCATTGGAGACTACATTATTTTGAAAGGAACCATAGACAACAAGTTAATATCATTATTAAACTTAAGCCCTCCAAATGCCTTAGCAACTAAATTCATAAAGGAAATATTATCTGATCTACAGGAAAACAAAGACAACAACATAGTAGTGACAGGGGATTTCAATGTCTCCCAGCTTGGGGTAAGTCTAACAGAAAGACAAACACAACAGAAAATATAGAATTGAACAAACCGCTGGAGCAAAACTAGAGCTAAAATATTTATGGTGTCTTCTTAATGGAACTGCAAAAGAATATACATATTTTTCAGCACCATATAGAACTATTACAAAAATTGACCATGGACACAGATAATAAAAACAAAAGTTTAAAAAGGCAGAAATAGTAAATACATCTTTTACAGACCATAACACAATAAGATAGGCATCAAGTCAGGGAGCACAAATAAAAAACACAGACTCAAATGGAGACTTAACAATGAAATTCTAAATAATGAGTGGGTCAGAGAACAAATCATAGGAACAATGAATGATTATGTGAAATAAAATGGTAATGATGAAACATCAAAATTTCTAGAATGCAACCAAAGCAGTCCTTAAGGAAAAATCTTGTTCTTACAAACATATATTAATAAAATAGAAAAAGAAAGGATTGGTGAATTGAATACACATTTTTTAAAAAAAATTAGATAGTCAACAAACAAATCTAAAATAAGCACAAAGGAGAAGATAATAAAAATTAGAAGAGAAATAGATAAAACCAAAATAATTATAAAAATGGTAAAAAAATTAAAAATAAGTTCATTGAAAATACTAGTAAAATTGATAAACCTTTAGCCAATCTGACTAAAAAGGAGAGGGTACAAAAAAACTTCAACCTACAAAGCATAGGCATATGGCAGTGGTAGTCTTCGGAATGCCCTGCGAGGGTGCCTCTGCAGGTTGGCCAGGCTGGATGGCCAGGAGCACCCTTTCCAGGTGGAGTCTCTCCAGCCCTCTCCAGCCTATCCAGCTCTGGCTCTGGGTCCTCAGTCTGCATCTCTCTCTCTCTCTCTCTCTGTCCTCCAGGTTCCCTTTGCTTCTATTTTATTTTTTAAATATCATAAAAAGCATCAATCTAAAGCCAAAACAAGTATCATAGACAATAGGGATAAACTAGAACCTTTTCCAAAAAATAAGGGAATAAAGCAAGGATGTCTACTCTCCCCACTATTATTTGATACAATTCTGAAATACTAGCAATTGCAAAAAGAAATTGAAGGCATTAATAGGTAAAGAGGAGATAAAACTATCCCTATTTGCTGATGATATGATAGCTTACTTGGAAAATCCTAAGAATTATCAAAGATACTAATTGAAATAATAGGTTAAGCAAAGTTGCAAGCCTCAAAATAAACCCTCAAAAATTAAACTGCATTTCCATAAAATAATAACAAAATCCAAGAGGCAATAACAGAAAGGGAAATCCCATTCCAAATAACTCTACAACACATAAAGTACCTGGGAATCAGTTGACCAAAGTGCACAAAAGACTTGGATGGATCCAATGACCACAGAGAACAACATAAAGCCTTGGATAAATATCCATACTCATAGCTGGGCCATGCCAATAGAAGAAAAATGACATTACCACCAAACTTAATTTATACTTTTAATGCTATACCAATGAAATTATCAAGGTGATACTTCAAGGAACTTGATGAAATTGTAACAACGGAAAAACAAAAGACCTAGAATATCAAGGGAAATGATGAAAAGAAATAGGGATGAAGGGGAATACTACTTCCAGACCTGAAATTATATTATAAAGCATCCATAATCAAACTATCTGGTACTCATTAAAAAAACAAAACAAACCAGTGGATCAGTGGAACAGACTAGACAAGGGGGAATCAGAAACAATGGAACTCAAAAACCTGGTGTTTGATGAAGTAGAAAACATAAATCACTTAGGAAACAATGCCTTATTTTATAAAAACTGCTGGGAAAACCGGAAAGCAGTCTGGCAGAAACTGGGCTCAGACCAACACGTTACACCACACTCTACCGTTCACTCTCAAAAGAAATGCAACCTTAAATTAAAGATCATACTATGAAGAAACTAGAAGAGAAACAGCTTGTATCGCTCACAACTCTGGGTGGGAGATCTATTCTTAACCAAACAAGAGATAGAAGCAACTGCAGAAGATAAAATAAATAACTCTGACTATGTGAAACCGAAAAGCATCTGCACAGACAACACTGATGCATCCAAGATAAGAAGGGAAATTGTCAAATGGGAAAAAAAATATTTGTATCAAATTTCTCTGATAAGGGGGTGTGTGTGTGTGTGTGTGTGTGTGTGTGTGTGTGTGTGTGTGTGTGTAAAAGCCATTCTGTAATAAGTGGTCAAAAGACAGGAAAGAACAATTCTCAAAAGAAGAACTGACAAGTATTCACAACCACATAAAGAATGCTCCAAATCACTAATAATGAGAGAAATGCAAATCACAACAACTCTGAGGATTCATTTCACACCTTCCAAATTTGCCAAGATGACAAGAGATGGGAATAGTCAATGCTGGAGGGGCTGTGGAAAGATAGGCACACTACTCCATCGTTGGTGGAACTGTGAAATGATACAATCATTTTGGAAAGCAATTTGGAATTATGCAAATAAAATAACCAAATTTCCATACCTTTTGACACAGAGATTCCATTATTGGGCTTATACCCCAAGGAGGCCATTGGTAAAAATAAAGACCTTATATAAACCAAAATGTTTATAGCAGTACTTTTTGTGACTGCAAAGAACTGGAAACAAAGTAGACACCCATGGGATGGGGGAATCTGTGGGACATAAATATAATGGAATAGTATTGTGCTGCAAGAAATAATGTATGCGAGCAACGCAGAGAGGCCCGAATGATCCACATGAACTAATGCAGGGTGAGGTCAGCTGAGCCAAGAAAACAGTATACACAATAACTACAATGGAAATGAAAATAACAGCCAAACACCAAAAAATCAAAAGTGAGTTTTGCAAAATACAAGAAACAAGCTTGGCTGCAAAGCAAGAAATGAGAGAAGACCCCCAGCCCTGACAGAGGGGGGTAGCCGTCAGCCCCTCCCTGGATAGGGGCGCAGCCTGCTGCCGGGACAGCCATCCCTACCTGAGTCTGTGATTGCCGGTAGAGCTCTCCCAGCCTCAACATGCTGGTCCAGTACCTGCGCACGGTGAGCCCAATGGACATACAGGGCCCCACATCGCGGGCAGCAGGGATCAGCTCATTGCTGGTGATGTTGTCTGTGTAGCTGGTAAAGCTCTGGAGAAGCAAAAGGAGCCTGGGGGACAAAGAGAAAGAGACACACAGACTGAGGGCCCAGAAGGCCTGGGGAGGAGAGGGCTGAAGAGGGCTGGAGAGGCTCTGCCTGGGGAGGACTGCCTGGCCGCCCTCGCTGGACATCCCCAAGGCCAGCCCCTGCCATCCCAGGGCTGGCAGCTCTGATGTTCAGAAAGCCTTTCCTTATCGGATGCAGAAATGGGTCCCTCTTTAGACTCTCCAATTCTAGCCTGGGGCCAAGGAGAGTGAGTAACATCGTCTTTTCTTAGGCCCCTCCCAGCTCTGACATTTTGTGTTCTAAGGTTACTTCCAACTCTGACATGTTAGGATTCCTCATTTAAGATTGCTATGGATAGGAACTATCTCTTCATCAGTGTTCTTCACGGTGTCCAAGAAGGCAACAAGAACCTACTAAGCACCTACTATGTGTAAAGCACTGGGGATACAAGGAAATGCCAAAATCAGTCCATCTTCTCAAAGGGCTCCCAGTCTGAGGGGAAGGGGAGGGGGGAGGTGACATTCAAACAGCTCTGTGCCAGTAAGACAGAGACAGGGTGAACTAGGGGGTGGTCTCAGAGGAAAGGCATTAGTGTTAACTTCCTTCTGCTCCCTATTAAAAGAGGCAATATATGAAGGATAAAAATCCAGCACCTGACCCCTGACAGTTGACCCCCACCCTCACCCCTTAGCTCAAAGATCCAAGTCACTGAGAATTCTGATTAAAGAGGCTAAATTGGTCTCAGGGCTCTCAAACTCACATATTTCTTTTTTTTCTAACTCAGTGTTATTATTTTTTTCAGATCTACATTCTTCCCCCACCTCCACCCCATTGAGAAAGCAAGAAAAATCAGCCTGGTCCCAAACTTGAATGGGCAAACACAAGAGAATCCTTGTGGACCAGGCCCAAAGCCCATCACCCCCCATCAGCGGTGGGTGGGCTGCATTTTGACTCATCAGGAGCTCCATGGAATGGGCTCTCCCACTTCCTAGAGAGTTCTCTAAGGGCCAAGGCAGAGGCCAGCCTGTGGCTTTCATTTGCCTAACCCCCACTAGCCCTGTCCTTTTTTTCCACTGGAGATCCGGTCACTGTGGCCCAGCCCGGGTGCTGTCCACCAGGCCCCACCTCCTGTCTCTGGGGTTTGCAACGACTGTCCCACAAGTCTGGCCTGCTCGCCCTCCACATCTTTACATGCCCGGCCCGCCAGCCACGCTCCCCACTTCTCCCTCCCACAGCACCACGTGCACGCTCCTTCTGTGTTTTTGTTGCATAGGCCTCAAACGTTCCTGTTGGCCCCCACTATTAGGGTGTCAGCTCCCCAAGTGTCTACCACAGGATGTGGCACACAGTAGGGACATCATAGCAGGATCCTGAGATCCTGAGAGAAGAGGAAGACAGTATGTAGACAAGAGACTGGGGGAGAGATTTCAGTCCAAAAGACGCCAGGAAAAAAGCCTGGGATGGAAATGCTGGCCAGGATTCAGTGACCAGCAGGGCAGTGACCTACAGGGACGCTCCACCATCAGCGCCAACGCTGGGACCGTCACCCACCACGACCACAAACTACAAGGAAGTGAGAGGCAGGCCCCGGCAGGTCACTAAGGACGTAGAAGTGGGGACCTGCTCAAAAGCATCAGCAGTCAGCATCAAGCATGGAGGCTGGGAGGGACCCTAGAGCAGGGGATGTCAGGGCTGGGAGGGGCCTCAGAACAGGGGATGTCAGAGCTGGGAGGGGCCTCAGAACAGGGGCTGTCAGAGCTGGGAGGGGCCTCAGAACAGGGGATGTCAGAGCTGGGAGGGGCCCTAGAACAGGGGATGTCAGAGATGGGAGGAGCCTTACAACAGGGGATGTCAGAGCTGGGAGGGGACCTAGAACAGGGGATGTCAGAGCTGGGAGGGGCCTCAGAACAGAGAATGTCAGAGCTGGGAGGGGCCTCAGAACAGAGAATGTCAGAGCTGGAAGGGACTTCAGAACAGGGGATATCAGAGCTAGGAGGGGTCTGAGAACAGGGGATGTCAGAGCTGGGAGGGGCCTCAGAACAGAGAATGTTAGAGCTGGGAGGGGCCTCAGAACAAGGAGTGTCAGAGCTGGGAGGGACCCTAGAACAGGGGATGTCAGAGTTGGGAGGGGACCTAGAACAGGGGATGTCAGAGCTGGAAGGAGCCTCAGAACAAGGGGTGTCAGAGCTGGGAGGGGCCCTAGAACAGGGGATGTCAGAGCTGGGAGGGGCCTCAGAACAAGGGGTGTCAGAGCTGGGAGGGGCCCTAGAATAGGGTATGTCAGAGCTGGGAGGGGCCTCAGAACAAGGGGTGTCAGAGCTGGGAGGGGCCCTAGAACAGGGGATGTCAGAGCTGGGAAGAGCCTTAGAACAGGGGATGTCAGAGCTGGGAGGGGCCTCAGAACAGAGAATGTCAGAGCTGGGAGGGGCCTGAGAACAAGGGGTGTCAGAGCTGGGAGGGGCCCTAGAACAGGGGATGTCCAAGCTGGAAGGGCCTTAGAAATCACCTTGCCAACAGTTTTAACAGTTGGAGAAAATGGGGCCCAGCCAGGGGAGATGATTTTTTCATGTTCACATGGGAGTTAGTGGCCAAGCCAGCACCAGGTCAGGTCTTTAGACAAGGAATCCGGGGTGTCTCCCATCCTCCATAGACCCCCTAGAGCTATAGGTCTTATTTGGGATGGACTGTTCCCCCCTAAATCCAACCTGGCTTTCTGCCCTCCAGAATCTTACACTCTGCTTTCAGGCAAAAGGAACCTTCAAGAACCCCATCTAAACCCCCGGGATTTATTTTATTTATTTATCCTATATATTTGTTGAAAGCATTTATCCAACCCCACCCCCAGCCTTTCCCCAGTAGACTCCCCACAACACGTAATTGCCAAGACTCTAAAGTGACCCAACATAACAGAGGACACATCACTCGGCCTACTCTTCAGTAGGCTTTCTGTTGCTAAATTGAAGGCCCACAGGCTTTCTGCGTGACCACCAGCCTGTCCATGGCTTGGGATCTGAGTTTTCTTGCCTTTTAAACTTGTGGGCTTTTTCTGTGTCCTTACAGAGTTAAGCAGCTGAGGCCACCAGAGGGGCAGTAACTTGCCCAGGGTCTCACTACTGATTAGCATCAAAGTCAGGACTGTAGCCAGGAGGCTTACCCAGGCCATCCCAGCACCTTTCAAGCCCATTTCCCCTTTGCAGGAGCAGAGAAGCCAGAGGCTCCAGAGGCATCTGAGCAGCCTAGACCAGCACAGTCCCCCCTCTATAACATCCGTGAAGGGTGGTCTTCTAGTTCCTAAAAGGCCGTGTGGTGGTGCTGTGCGTGCTGCTGGACTTGGGGGTCTGGAAGACCAGAATCATGTCTGGGACACTTACTGGCTATGTGACCCTGGACTTAACCTCCCTCAGCCTCAGTTTCTTCATCTGTAAAATGGGAATATAATTGTAAGGAGAGATAAAATTCCTGGAAAAACAGGCTTTTAAAAAGCCCACTGGGTTTCAGATGGAGCTAGCTGGCTTGCCTTTAAAGTCAGATCACTCTGGCTTTCACTGAATGGCCAATAATGGCTCCCAGGTTCTGATGCCTCAGAATGAGTGTAAATAGCAATTATTTTCTGTTCAGGCCAGAAACTCGGAGGGTCTTCCCCTCCCAGACTGACATTTTTGTGATGTTAAATTAGGCCATCTTTTCCCTCAGCTCTTACCCAGCCCTTTGTCATTGAGTGGGTGTTGCCTCAGATAAACCGAGCCTGGGAAAGACCTTAATTTAGAAAGGCCAAGGTCGCCCACTGCACCCCAGGCCATGGCCAGTCATCTGGACTTTTGTCTCACCACTGGACTTGCCAGGACGCAGCAGGAGTCTGCTGGCTCTGCCCCACTTAAATCCAGTTCTCAAGCAAGTCCAGACATCACCCTCATGATGTCATTGGTCCTCTTCCCGAACAACGGACAAACCTGAAAGTGCTATATAAATGCTCTTGTTGTCGCTTTCTCACTCAAACACCTCCACTGATGGGGGCTTCTCTAGCATTCCAGTTCTGGACAGCTCCCGTCCTTAGAAAGTCATGCTGAAACCTGCCTCTCTGCCCACCCCGGCTCTTTGGGGCAGCCTCCCCCCAACCACCAGACAGCCAAGGGCAGCTGATGGCTTGGCCCTCACCTGTCAATCACCAGCTCTAGGAGTACCACATGGGAAAGCTGAGTGAACTCAGGGTTCCCTTCCTCATGGTCATAGTGCTCTAAGAGAGACACCAGATCCAGGTCACAGGACACTTTGTCAGGGAACTTCCAAGAAGGGAAACGCACTGCCCCAGCTCGGGAGAACACATCCACAATGGCTCCTTGCAGGTCCGTGATGTCCTTCCTCAGGCTCTCCATGCAGCTCTGGTTCCCCAGCAGATGGGCCATCTTGCAGGCCAGAAGACGCTCTGGGGGGACGTCAGAGAATGAGCTGGTTCCAAGGGCTGCCTCCCTCCCCCCTGGGCCTCAGTTTCCTCAGCTGTAACATGAGTGGCCTCTCAGAACCTGCCATCTCTTCCTCTGCCCCCATCTGAGCTCTTCTGGATGGGAACCTTCTACCACCCCCAACATTGCTGAGCTTGGATCGCCTTTCCCCTTGGAATAGAAGCTCCCAGAGGAGAGGGATTGCTTTCGGGACTTGTGTTTGTGGTGCGTGGTAAATGTTTAATAAATGCTTGGTGGGGGCAGCTAGGTGGCGCAGTGGATAGAGCACCGGCCCTGGATTCAGGAGACATAACAGTTACTAGCTGTGTGACCCTGGGCAGGTCACTTAATCCCACAGCCTAGCCAAAAAAACAAAAACAAAAAAACAAAAAACAAAAAAAAAAATAAATGCTTGGTGATTGACAAACTTTTCCTTGGCTTCCTTCGTAATCCTACTTTGTGTTATACATTTTAAAACATTATTCTGAGGTGTCCCTAGGTTTCATCAGATCGTCAAAGGGATCGGTACTGGTGGAGGGATCTCCTGGGAGCTCCTCACCAATCCGCCCAGCTTCACAGAGAGAGAGCCGGAGCCCCACTTTCTCGATTTTGAGCCCAGCCTTCTATGTTGAAAGGGTGATGAAAAGAAGGGCTAAGCCTTCTTATCCCAGCAGAGCCAAGGGTAATTTCAGATTTCCTTGACGGAGCTAAGCCAGCCTATTGTCTCTTGGTCTTATGTGTATGTGAACATGTCGACCCCATGGAACATAAGCTCATTCAAGGCAGGGTCTTGTTTCATCTGGGTAATTGTAACCCGGGTCTCTAGTCTGGTGATTGAAGTGGGGGGGGGGGGGGACCACCTGGTGGGGGGGGGGCTTGAGGCGGCTCCCTGAAAGGTAAGGAGTCTTAGATGGGAAAAGAGGGAGGCTGTTGGGGTGAGGAGACAGGGTCTGAGGCAGGAGAGGCTCCCAGAAGTAGGAATAGGGCTGCGGAATGGGGAGGGGAGAGCGGAGTGGTATCTGAGTTGAGAGGGGTTCCCGGGTGGGGGAGGGAGCAGGGCTTTTCGTTGATGGGGGAGGCTTTTGGTGGGAGGGTCTCCCTTTAGGAGAACAAGGCTCCTGAGGTGAGGGTGGGACTCTTGGGAAAGGAGGGGTGCTCCCTGAGATGGAGGGGCCTAGGGATGGACAATACTGGGCGGCTCCTCCAGGAGGGCAAGGCTTTGGTTGGGACTGGCTCCCCAGGTGAGGGTAGGCGCTCCCTGAGGTGGGAAGGGCACTCCTAGGGATGGGGCCAATATTTCGGGGGCGGGTGTTCCTCCAGGAAGAGCTGGGCTTTGGGTGGGATGGGTTCCCTAGGTGAGAGCGGGGCTCCCCAGGTGAGAACGGGACTCCCCAGGTAAGAGCGGGACTCTCCAGGTGACGGGTGACGGCAGGTGCTCCCTGAAGTGGGAAGGGCGATCCCGGGGTGGGGGCGAGATTTCTGGGCAGGGGGGCCCTCCTTCACGGGAGGGGCGAGGCCCAGGAGGGCTGGGGACCCTGGGGCAGGAGAGGGGTAGAGGGGACCCAGAGGCGTCACTCCAAGCTCACCCGCCCCCGGCAGCGCCGCCGCAGCTCCCCCGGAGTCCCGGCCTCCGCTGCAGTCCTTAGCCTAGTACCCGGGGCCAGCCGCCCGGCCGTCTCCATGGCAACGGCGTCTCCACGTCCGGCGTGCACGAGGGGGAGGGGAAGAGGGCCAACGGAAGGCGAGGGGCGGGACCGGAAGCGCGTCGCCCCGCCTCCTTCGAGGCGGTCCCCCGCTCGGCCGCCGCCATCTTGTGAGCGCCCGGCTCGGCCCGGACGCAGCGCTGCTCGCGCCTAGACCGCCGTTGGAGCCGCAGCCCCCAGCGCCGCAGACATGCCGGCAGGCCCGGTGCAGGCGGTGCCGCCGCCGCCGCCCGTTGCCACGGAGCCCAAGCAGGTAGCCGGTTGGCGGGCGGGGAACCCCCTCTGCCCCCCTGGGCCCTGTCAGCTGGTGGGAGGGGAGGGAAGGGGAGAGGCGGCTTTGGGGCCGCCAATGGCAGGAGGGAGATGGACTACAGGTCCCAGGAGGCATCACGCCGCCCGCGCCGCGCGGCCCCCTGGGAGCCGGGCGAGGACGCTCTAGGCCAGGGGAGGGCCTGCTACTCTGTGGGATGCTCTGGAGCCCCCGCGTGGCCTGAGCGACCGCCGCTGGCACCGGAGAGCGCTTACAGTGTGCAGACTCCCCCTCAACCCCTGCTTGCCCTCCTGGGCAGGCTCGTGGAGAGGAGCAAAATGGCTCGTTGTCCACGCGCGCCCCCCCCCCATCCGTGTTGATCACGTTTGTTGTTGTTCAGTCGTGTCTGACTCTTGGTGACCCCATTTGGGGTTTTCTTGGCAGAGACGCTGGAGTGGTTTGCCATTTCCTTCTCCAGCTCGTTTGACAGATGAGGAAACTGAGGGCAACAGGGTTAAGTGACTTGCTCGCGGTCACCCAGCTAGTAAGGTCTGAGGCTGGATTTGCACTCAGTAAGAGGAGTCTTCCTGACTCCGGGCCTGGCGCTCTACCCACTGTCACCCAGCCGCCCTAATATCACTGTTACTCCCCACTCCTCCAGCATGGAACAGACCCTTCCCCATCATCCTGTACATTTTCTGCCCCCCAGGTGCCTACCCTGGCACTCTTCCTCCACAACTTAAATCAGCCACTACTCCCATTGACTCTGGAAAAAAGCATCTCACTGACTTGCCCTATGGCTCCCCTCACCATCCCTGTGACTCCCGGACCAAAACACACTCCCTGGCTACCACTTCCCCCTTTGTGTGGTCTCCCTCCATCAGAAGGTAAACTCCCTTAACAGTAACAACAACATTGTAAAGAAACATATATTGAAAGGCCCAAGAGCTGATCAATGCAATGACCAACCACCGCTCCAGAGGATAGATGATTGATATAGCTGATGGAGAGATGGTGAACTCAAGATGAAAAATGCGATACATCATATATTTTCAGATCTGGGTGATGTGTCCATTTGTTTTTGCTTTACTATGCTTTTTTTAGGGTTTATTTCTCTTGTTTTTCAATGATGGATGGGATTTGGGGAAAAGGGGGAGGGGGTCTACTGCCCCTCAGTGCAAAAAAGAAAAGACACTAATTGAAGCATTTAGTAATAATTAGTCATTGCTAGCACTTATATAAAACTTTATAAATATTATCTCACTTGATCCTATCACATACTTGGGGTTAGACATTATTATTCAATTTTACAGATGGGAAAACTGAAGCAAACTGACAGGACAGAAGAAAGTTCAGGACAGCTTGTTGAATGTATTATATGCATTAAAAAAAAGCAAGCACTGCATAATAGATATTTGTGGTTTAGTACGTAGTTATCTTTTTCTGTTCTACTTTATATTTGGAATATATATTTATATTTCTGTCCTATTTTATATTTATATTCCCTTTTTGGTGTTAAGTTTAGAATTAAAAAAAAACTTTTTAAAGAACGTAAGCTATTTGAGGGCAGAAACTGTCTCCCATTCGTATCCCCAAAGCTTAGCACATAGTAAGTGTGTAATCATTTTTTTAGTTCATCCATTCACCCGGCTGCCAGATGGACTTTAAGAAAGCCATGTTAGCCCCTCGATTCTCCTTCTCAAAAAGTTTTATTGCTTCCAGAGTAAAATAGCCATCTGTCTTACATTTAAGGCCTTTCACAAAATCTGGCACTAGCCTGTCTTTTTTTAGTTTTCAATTGTGAGTTAATTATCAATAAACAATTCAAGATCCAAAAAAAAAAAGTAGGGGAAAGATTATGCAAGAAATTGTACTTTTGTTACATAGTTAAAAGGTAGTAACAAAATTGCTGTCTTTGGGTCCCCTCCCATACTTCTGTGCATGTAAAAAAAATGTTTTATTGATGCACTAACCCACCTTCCCTCCCCAAAGCCCTTCCTCCTAAGAAACTTCCATAGTTTAGCAAAACATGTCAGCACATTCAGCCTCTCTTTGTCCCCCCCAGATTCTCCCATTACTCCTTCTCAGACCTCTGCCTCCCTAACTGGCCTCTTTGCTATTTCCTAGCCAAGCCATTGCTTTGCTGCCTTATGGGCTTTTGTACAAGTTGTTCTCCATGCCTAGGGCATTGCCCTCCTCACCCATGTTCTGAATAACCCAACTCCCTTGAAGGCTTTAAGGTCCAAATAGAGTGCCACCTCTTCCAAAAAGCCTTTCTGGAATCCTCACCCCACTCCTTTGTGTTTCTTTCTCTCTCTCTCTCTCTCTCTCTCTCTCTCTCTCTCTCTCTCTCTGAAGGTAGTAATCAGCAAGCATCCATTAAATGCTTCCTATTTGCTAAGTACTCCATAGCCACCAGAAACACAAAGACAGACACAGAACAGCCCCTGTCCTCAAGGAACTCGATTCTATGAGGGAAAACAAAGTGTCCCACTTTGTGTATATTTTTGCATCTAGTTATCACTGCATGAGTTGTCCCACTCCCATCCCCTAAGGTCCTTGAGGGCAGAAACTTTGATTTTTCTCTTCACGGCCCTAATGCTTGGTCCAAAACACCCAGGAAATGTTTATTGAATTGAATTACATTGTTGTTGTTCAGTCATGTCGTACTCCTTGTGACCCCATGGATCATAGCGCATCAGGCTCTTCTTTCCTCCGCTCTCTCTCAAAGTCTGTCCAAGCTCATGTGTGTTGCTTCCGTGACCCTATCCATTTCATCTTCTGCTGTCCCCTTTTCCTTTTGCTTCAGTCATTCCCAGCATCAGGGTCTCTTCCCATGAGTCCTGGCCTTTCATTATGTGGCCAAAGAATTTAGGCTTCAGCCTCAGTATTTGACCTTCCAGCCTGAATTAATGTCTTTAAGTATTAACTGATTTGACCTCCTTACTGTCCAAGGGACTCTGGAAAGTCTTCTCCAGCACCACAATTCAAAAGCATCGATTCTGTGGCCCTTAGCTTTCCTTATAGTGCCTCTCACAGCCATCCGTTGCTGTCGGAAAAGCCATAGCTCTGACTATATTGACTTTTGTCTGCAAAGTGATGTCTCTGCTTTTTAGTCTGCTGTCCAGATTCACCAGAGCTTTCCTTCCAGCGAGCAGTCGTCCTTTAATTTCATGACTGTAGTAAGTCACACAAACTGACCCAGCCTGTTGAGGAAGCCTGACAAAGTGTGCCAATTGATTCCACACCTCTCATCCCCCCTCCTCCCCAGCTTGCCTCTCAACCAACAGGAGGGATTGTGTTTCCCTGTCAGTCCTCTGGAGGCAAGTTTAGTCATTGCAGGGGTCTGGATTCTGCCTCTTAATGTTGTCTTTATATCCTGGTGGTCCTTTGTGTCTTTGTCCTGGGGACTGGGGGAGCTGTCTGAGCTCAACTCTGTGTCTGCCAGGGCCTGCTTATTTAGCATGGCATCCTCCACACCCCAGCCCAGCAGGCACCAGATGTTCATTGAATGTTGTCGTTGAGTCCCTGGGGGCAAGAATGCTTGGGAACACATCTTGTGAGGCCAACACTGCACCTCAAAACAAGAAACACTCAGTCTCTTGGGGTGAGGGATGAAGGGAGAAGGAAGCCTTACAGAGGACCTCATGCTACTCTGAGACCCTTTCTCCCTCCTTATCTTTGCTGATTGAAATCCCCCCCCCCCCCCACTTCCCCCTACCTTCCTTGGCAGCTTTGTCTGCCTCCCCTCACCTGTCTGCTTTGCACAGATCTTTGTTTTACCTAAGCTTTGTATCACCCCAGGGCATGGCCACTACAAATGTTTAATGCATTGGAAGCCTCCTTGGGGCACCTCCCTAAAGACTCGGGTGTAAGAGAGCCCCGGTGAGACAGTTGGGCTCCCTCCTCCCACCATTCCCCATAGAACTTCTCCCCCGATACTTCTGTGATGGCAAATGAAGACAGCGCCCATCTCAGCTTTTCATCCTAAAGTAAGAAAGGAAGGACCGAGGGCTCCTTGCTCTCTTGTTTACCCACTCCAGAGTGGGGAAAGATGTCCTCCCTATGTCCTTCAGCACTCACCCTACCCCACAGCCTGAATAGCTTGAGTTCTCACCTCCTCTCTGAGAAGGGCTTCCCTTGCCTCCTCACTTGTGAATTCCTCCTTTTTCCATCCAACTCAGAAGTCACCCCCCCCCCCCCCACTCCCAGGACAGTCATTCCCACCCACTAGAAAACACTGACCAGGAAACAGAAAAGGGCCTTCTGAGAATGGGGGCTTGGAGCAGGGCCAGGGGCTGGCAGAAGCACGGGGGATCAGTGTAGATGCTTGGCCATCCGTTTTGTCCCCTTCCCTTAAGGGGCCTGGCCTTTGGTTTCGGATACCATCCTAGCTGGAGCACTCCTGCCTCAGGAATTCAGCCCTCCCCAAACAGGGAGAGTTTGCTGGGGGGGAAACACAGTTGGGGCGGGGGAGGAGTCTGCTAGGGCATAGATGGGGGGGAGAGCAGGAGATGGAGAAGAGTGTGCCGAGGACAGAAAGTACAGGAAGTGGGGGGAGGGTTGTCATGTGCTCCTTCCCTTTTTTGTCCCATCACACCAAGGGCCCAGGGCTTTTAACAAACTTCCCTGTGTGCCCTGTAGTTCCCCCTTAGCGCGTCCCTACGGTGGGGAAGTGGGCAGGGTAGCCTGTAGGACGGGGGGAGAGGGAGAGCAAGCAA